TTTTTTTTTTTTTTTTTTTTTTTTGAGACAGGGTCTTGCTCTGTTGTGCAGACTAGAGTGCAATGGCATCATCATAGGCCACTGCAACCTCCAACTCCCAGGTTCAAGTGATCCTCCTGGCTCAGCTTCCTGAGTAGCTAGGACTACAGTTGTGTGCCACCATACCTGGTTGTTTTTTGTTTTTTTTTTTTTTAGACAGAATCTCACTGTGTTGCCTGGGCTAGAGTGCTGTGGTGTCACTGTAACCTCCAACTCCTGCGGCCTGACACAGGCCACATGCGGGTGTTGTTGCCCGTTTGTTTTTTTACTTCAAAATAAGATATGTGCAGTGTGCATAGGAATTTGTTCATAGTTTTTTTTTTAAACTATAGTCCGGCCCTCCAACGGTCTGAGGGACAGTGAACTGGCCCCCTGTTTAAAAACTCTGAGGACCCCTGACCTAAAGAAAGAACACACAGCTGTACAATGTGTTTGTGTTTTAAGCTAAGTGTTATTACAAAAGTCAAAAAGTTTAAAAAAGTCAAAGAGCTAACAAAGTAAAAAATTATAGTAAGCTAAGGTTAATTTATTAGTGAAGAAAGAAATCTTTTAAAATAAATTTAGTGTAGCCTAAGAGTGCAGTGTTTATAAAGTCTACAGTAGTCTACAGTAACGGCCTAGGCCTTCACACTCACTCCCAGTCCTGCAAGCTCCACTCATGGTAAGTGTCCTACACAGGCATACTATACTATTTATTATCTTTTATACCGTAGTTTTACCTTTGCTTTGTTCAGATGCGCAAATACTTACCAGTACTCGGTACAGTGACAGGCTGTGCAGGTTCGTAGCCAGCGGCGACAGGCTGCGCCATGTAGCCCAGGTGTGTTTTTAGGCTGTGCCCATCTAGGTTTGTGTAAGTTCACTCTATGATGTTTGCACCGTGGCGAAATCACCTAACGACACTTTTCTCAGCACGTGCGGGCCATTAGGGACGCACGACTGTAGTTAGATGCCCAGCTGCAGCGCGGGAAGGAAAGGTGTTCCACACGGCAAGGACAGCATGCGCAGGGCCACAGAAGTGGGAAATTGGGGGGAACAGCTGACAGTTATTTTTTAAAATTAACTTCATTGATGCATAATTTGCAAACATAAAATGCACGCACTTTAAGTTAATAGTTCGATGAATTTTGAGAAATGTATACGAACCCAGGTGACCACCATCTTGTGCAGAGCTTCCTTTTAGAAATTACCACTTCAAGCTGTTTTTGTGTTTAGTAAATCATAATTTTATTACAAGTTTTATAATTCAATATTAAAACCACAACAATACAGAGGCAATAACAGAGACTATAAAGAGCACAGGCCCTGGAATCAGCTCTAGGTTTAAACCCTACTTCTCAAGCAAGTCAATTTCCCAAAGCCTCAGTTCCTCATCCATAAAATGGGGGTAATAACAAAACCATCTTCGCAAGATTGCTGTGAGGATTAAGAGAAACGATGTCGAGCTTCTAGCAAAATGCCTGCAACATAGCAGGACCAATAAACGGTGTTAACCTTATCACGATTACACAGGCCTTTGTGGTAGGGCTACCCTCAGAGGTATGGTATGGACGCTGGGACTTGTTGGCAAAGGTTCGAGATGGTCCTAAAGGCTAACTACAATGGCAACTCAGTTCTGCTTCCCTACTGGCTCTATTTCACAATCCGTGGTGAAGGCTCCAGTGTATTTCATGCTCAAACACAGTGCTTTGAGATGGAATGGGTCATTTGAGAATTGACTCTGGAACAAATTGAAAGCAGGACACTTAAAGGCTCCCCCCCCCTCAGTTGGCCAGTCCTGCCTGCTCCCTGGCCTTTAAACAGAGCCCAGCTGCCCACGTGTCAGGCCACAGGAAGCTGGGGAGGCCCCACCTCTAGGATTCCCCCAGTGGCCCGGCCCCACTTGTGGGCTCAGCCACCTGCTCCGGCTCCGGCTCCAGCTCGGGCTCCCCAGCACCCCGACTCCACGATCCCGCTCTTGTATCAGCCTCAGGCCTGTCTGCTCGTGCCAAGACCCACTTCTTCACTCTACCTGCCTGTCACCCCACCCATCCAACTCTGCCAGCTGCCTTGATCGCTGCTGACGCCTACTGTGTACGCTTGAGGCGCTCCCTTAGTCGGCCTCAGCTTGCTGGGGCCCCCCTGCGCCCACCCCCAGCACACAGGACCTGGGACACAGTCGCAACCGTGGTATCACTGGAGGGCCAGGGGGACGGGCTGCCATCTACCTGAGCAACAAAGAGCTGGAACTCGTCGGGCAGAATCCACGAGCGAGGGTAGAAGTTGTACTCCTCAGGAAAGAGATTCTGCATGATTCTCACCGCTCTGCTCAGGGTGATTTTACGCACCATCTCCGTCATACCTGGGGAGAAGAGACGCTGTGAGGCTTCAACAACAGTGGGCCACCAGCTATAAAACAGCCATTATTTGGGACTTTAAAAACCACCCATCCGACATATTCACTTTTTCCGACAGGACAGAGACAAAAAAAAAGAAGAAGAAGGTGTGAGTTGCTCCCCACAGCAGTGACTCCTGGTTTGGAAAAACCTACCAAATTTATGAAAAACTTCGGGTAATAGATGGATGTTTTCTGATTGCAAAAATGAAGCATTAGGACACTTCATAGCATGTATTATTGTTGAGGAAGAAAAAAAAATGAAGTATCAGTTTGAAAGAATGAATGTTCACCTAGTTTATTATTCTAGTCTTTGTCATCCCCTTAGGGAGTGAATACAGAAGCGTTTATATCTTGCACTTAAAACTTAATACCCTCTTTTAATTTGGGGCCACCGTACATACCGCGGGGCTCCCTTCCATCATGTGCCCTAGAGAGTATCGTCTAGTGGACTCTGGTTACATTATGAGAAGCTTAATTAAGTTGCTTTGTTTTAATCTGTCATGAGTATTAAAGGCATAAAATAGAAAAATTCACACCTTTCAGCATAAATTCTGTCTCCTTGAATCAAGGACAGGAAGTGGGGAGGCTACCCAAACATAATTTATCGTTTAAAGAGAAAAAAATGAATCTGTAGGAGTTCCTCAGTCTTAAGGACCAACACTGGCATTGATCATATCTCATTAATTTGCCCAGAGGGGACTGAAATGTCTCACTTTTATACAACATTTTAAAAGAATGGTGGATTTTTTTTTCTTGCAACATTGCCAATAACTCTGGCAAGAGGCTGAGTACCATATATCTTAGCAAATTTTAAGCAAATGGGTAAAACTTATTGTAAATTTTAGCATGCTTATACCTTAAGACAAATATCACTGCTAAAAATGGAGATTAAAAAATGGACTTCGCCCTGAAAGAGACTAAACAGTTGCGTTACTGACACTAGAAATGTGCTTAGCAAAGCTATTTTTTTTTTTTTTTTTTGAGACAGAGTCTCACTTTGTTGCCCAGGCTAGAGTGAGTGCCGTGGCGTCAGCCTGGCTCACAGCAACCTCAATCTCCGGGGCTCAGCGATCCTACTGCCTCAGCCTCCCGAGTAGCTGGGACTACAGGCATGTGCCACCATGCCCAGCTAATTTTTTGTATATATATTTTTAGTTGGTCAATTAATTTATTTCTATTTTTGGTAGAGACGGGGTCTCGCTCAGGCTAGTTTCGAACTCCTGACCTTGAGCAATCCGCCCGCCTCGGCCTCCCAAAGTGCTAGGATTACAGGCGTAAGCCACCACGCCCGGCCAGCAAAGCTATTTTTAATAGAAAACACAAAGTTCCATGTCACCTTGGTGTGCCCGAATGATCACACATCCCAAATGGGCACAGTGAGAATGAATGAGGTTTCTCTAAACTCCCCCGTTCAGGGAGCAAAGGGCGAACCTCCGAGAAGGAAAGTTTTAAAACCAACATCTTGCTTCCCTCCATGTATTAAAAAGGGAAATAAATCTAAAGATCCCAGCTTTGAGATGTCAATGCCTCAGTCTCAGTTGTTGTTTGGAAGGATATAGGGGAGGATTAAGTAAGAAATAAAGGAGCTTAAAAAGCACTAAGAAACTGTGCTCGAATGTGGAATCTTCAATATTCAGGAAAGCTCGCTGAGGATGCTGTTCTGAGCCTCCCAAGAAACGAGTCTGGGAAATCACAGCTGTGTCCTGTGCTGCTTCCACAAAGTTAGAATTTGTGAGTTGTACATGCTGGAGCTGAACAGAAAGTAAACAAAACAAAATTTCAACTTTTCTGAACCTTTTTGCTTGCACTCGCCTACCGTTTTGGTCACAGCATTATACTGAAGGCCTGCGTAGCTAACCGTAACACGGCACCTTAGACCAACTAAATGGCGCCTCCAGACCAAACAGAGCCGCGGCACTTGCTGCATTTTAATGGTGTTGTCCCAGGGGCGGGTTCTCTCTCAGAAACCCCTCAGCAGGTCAGAAGGACCCACGCCACACGGACAGAAGAGCTGGGCATACCCAAGGGCAGTTTGAAGGCTCCAGGAAAGTTTTGTGAAAGTTGATGTCCAACAAATTGAGCAAACACTCATTTTACATCTGCAGCGGCTCCGTTTGCAACATGCAGCATCAGTCCCCCCACCAGCTGACAGTTGTCACCACCAACATCAGTTGTCTCGTTTACCTGTGTGTCTCCAGGCAGCTACGACAGCAGCCGACCTACGCAGCGCCTCTACAAGCCGATGGCTACTGCTCCCCAGACACCGGTGGCTCACCGCCGGGGTCGAGCCTGCCTGAATGTGGACCTTTCTCGGCCCACTTGCCACCAACACCTCTGTTCCTCTCCCATAGCCACGATGCATTCCCAACCAGTGCGGCCAGAGAGTCCCTGGCCCCTCGTGGAGGCTGCTGGCATCCCTGCCTCGGGAGGCAGCTCAGAGACAGGTGTGGGGAGTGGCATCCTCTCGCACGACGACCCTGACAGGAGTAGCTGGGTCTCTAGCTGAGCCAAGGCACGTGTTCCCTGAGTCAATATGTGCAGGGGAGGTCACAGCCAGTCCCGCTGGCTCCAGGCCCTGCTGGGTCCAGGCTCCACCTTCCTTCCCAAAGCAGCTGCAGCACCTGACGCCTCCCTGCCTGCGACCCCCTCCCCGGGCTCTGGGACCCATTCTGACTTGAGGTGGCAGCTCTAGATCTAACCATCAGCTCCCCTCTGCTAGAAGTGTGACCTCAACTGTGTATTCCATTTAGATAAGGAGGCTTTTACCTGTTTTTCTGAGGTGCCGTTGCTTGTCCCCCAATTTTGGGAACCTATTATTTGCTCCTGGTGCCTGAGTGGCTGCCTTAGCTGAGGCCTCTGCCTTGTTCTTTCCAATGCCCTCCTGTCCCCCCGCTCCCTGCCACTCTTCCCTGTGTGGCCACAGCCTCCCCTGCAAGGGCCGGAGTCCTCCTGTCTATGACGTTGGCCCCGTGTCTAGGGCCCTGCTGCCTACTGACAGGCTCTTTTGAGGCTGCCTGCCTACCTGGGTTTCTCAATAAGGTCTAACCTTAGATCTCCCTACAGTGACAGTTCCCCTATCTATGGGGAAAGCCCCCTAACTCGGGGAAGCTTCTGGCACCAAGGGCTTGCCTCCTGCCACTTCTGAGGCCTGGGATCTTCTGTGTGCTGCACTGGAGCCTCAGGCCCGGTGGCTTCCCACTGGCGTTAACCAACAGCGTGACAGTTCCCTCCTCGGGCTGCCCACGCAGCCCACCTAACCCAATTAAAACAAAACAAAAACAAACTGAGCTATACTTGGAGCACAATTCAATCCAAATACTATTTATAGCAATAATTCTTTGCAAAAAAATACATCACAACCACCAAACAGCAAGCAAATAGTTTCAGATCCATCCTCTTCTCTCCATTCCCGCCGCCACCGATCGGTTCATCTCTTGTCTAGATGCTGCGGCGGCCTCTTAGCCGAATCGCAGTTTCTTCCCTCAGCCCTTCCACCCCCTTCCAGCGTGGCCCTCCGGCCGGCCCATCTTCCTAGAATGCAGGCTGGCCCATGTCACTCTCTGGCTTAACAATCTCTCAGGGGCTCCCATGACCGTCAGGCTGCGCTCAGGTCCCTGCCCATCACCTCTCCGCTGTCCCACGCACTTGACCTGCTCTAACCCGCATGCGCCACTGCCCTTTGCTCTGCAAGCTGCAGGCTCCATGCATTCCGTGTCTCTGCACCAGCTCTGCTCCCGTGCTTGGCCCATCCCTACTGCGCCAGCCCTCTCCTCCAGGATCTCCCGCCCTGCCTGCTGCCCAGGCAAACCGGGGTTAGGTTACCTGCCCTCGCTTCAAACTCCCACAGCACTCCAGGCTTCCTCTAGCATAGCACTTAGCTGTATTCTGCATCTCTCTTTACACGCCTTTCTCCCTGACTTTGTATCCCCAGAGCCCAGACCAATGCTTGACAGACGGCCACGCCCCACAGACCCTCACTGCAGCCCCTCCTCATGGTGAGCTCTTGGGCACCACCTGCCGCGTGCTGCCACACATCTCAGACCCTGAAACTCAGCAAAAAACGTGTGTGTGAGCTGCACACGGACAGTTCTGGACTTTCTTGAAGCAAAGCCATATCTAAATCAGAATACTTTTATAGAAGGTCTTCATTCATCAGTTAAGATATAATAAAGTATTTTGAATAAGGAAATTGCCTATAGAAAAGTGACTAAAATCTAGTGTGCTGATACAAACAAAATGAATTATTCCATCTGGGTATATCCCAACATTTTCAGCTTATTCGGCACGTAAACTGTCCATTCTTGCCTGGCATACCCACTAGAGCCTATGCTATGTAATATACAAAGCACAGGGAATGCACTTTAGAATAATGGGACGTATGAGGGACAGCGCTAAGGCTGGACACAAGCTGGACTCGCCCCACTGCTGAGAATGACTGCCTTTCACAGGGCAGAGACTGTGGCAGGCCCATCCCTCTGCCTGCAGGGCCGAGAGCCTGCTTTGCCACTAGAGCTGATAAAGTGCTGCCAGTAAAGTAGAAAATTGTATGTTCTAATCATTGGCATGTGGAATATCGGATGGAGGAAAACCAGTCCTTTAAAGGCACTTCTTTCTATATTTCTATTTGTGTCCCAAACGTAGATCCATGCTGCTGCTTTCCTACTCTCAGCGTTGGATGAGGCAGGAGCAAACGTGGAAATGCAAATGAAGCCTCGCTTGATGACTCCTGTCTTAGGGACCCTGTCCTCGTTCAAAGGGTTGTTCTCTGCCAAATTGTGTTCTCCCGATAGCCCAATAAGTCCTTTTAGGGGTATCAAAAAGAAATATCCTTTTCTGAGTAGCAAGACAGAGAAAATAATAGCTCTCCCATTAAACTGGTGCTCAAGAACTCTGGCTGTAAGAGTCAGTCTTGGTCTGTAACAAAACCCTTTCTCCTTCTCTAAGGACAAATTTGATTTGGGGTTAACTTTCTATCTCTGTTGCCCTGGAAACCAATAAAGGTGGAATGTGAACTGCATCAGGAGACAACAAAACATATGGTTGAAATAATCCCTGATTGGGAAATTGCATAAATACCTGGTAGGAAGCCACAGCCCTAGGCTTTCCTGAGTGTGGTGATTCTTGTAACTTGACATGAGCCTTGCGGGGACCTTGGAAGCCATGCTACAGAGTAGTTGTAAGAGACACTGGCTCCTGTGGGGCATCTAAGCCAAGACAGACTCGCATCCACCAACGTGGATCTTGTCTCCTTGCACCCGAGACTAGCCCCTGGGACTCTGACAGATCCTCCCCACTGAAGAGAAATGCTTGACGTTGCAGCCGGCAAGCTGCATTTCCCGCCCTATATCCTTCTAGGTGAATCTGAGCCAAGTGTGGCCCATGGTGGTGACTTTGTAAGTCTGCACGCTTAGGTGAAAACTCCTAGTGGACGTGGCACAACCAGCCAGTGTGTAACGTATACATGTGGGGTTTTCTTCAAGATGTTTTCTTAAAGATGTGGGATAGAATATCAAAAAAAAAAAAAAAAAAAGGAGAGCAAATTGATCCTCCCTTTAAAATAAGTATAAATGATATAATACTAAGAGAAAACACCCTATATTCAGGCAGCTACACTCTGACTGCAACCATGCAAAAATAATAACTAAACACGGTTAAAGTTTGGGAAGAAATGTAGACATATTCACATTGTTATTTTGTTAAACAAGGGATGAGATTCCAGGTGATGCTCTTTTAAAATTTTTGTATTGTAGTGTTATAATACGGTTTGTGCAATACATTAACATTTTAAAAAATAAGTGTCCGATCCTTTGGCTGTATCATACCCAGCTTAATCCAATGCTCCCTTTTCCCTAAGCAGTGCCAGCATTCTCAGCTACTCTTTCATTCGACCATCAAAAATAATGAAGAATAGTCATCCTAGCAGAAGAAGGTGGTAGAGATTAAAAAACAAAATAAGAAGGCATTCAGGAGGCTGGGAGTGGAGTGTGGAGCTTCTTCACATGTTGGCTATGACAATTTTCTGGCACTAAGAGTCCCCCTTGCAGGGTAAGTCTCACTGAGAAAATGTCATTAGGTAAAAGGCAGAGGCTCCCTGCAGCCAACAGTACTCAGTATGGAGATGATGTATTTGGTTGTAAAAAATGGTACCTCCAAATCCGATACTTCAAGAAAAGGAACTGATATCCCATTTCTGTAATATATTCTTAGAATTTTAGTACTTTTGTTTCCTACAAGTTACATGTTCTATTTTTTTTTTTCATTTTGAGAATACAGTCCCCTCATTAGAGGGGGATTATATCTATAACCCCAAAAGTGGAAATCATGCTTTTCCACCAGTGGAATGAGACCAAGAAACCTGTCTTTAAATCTTTAAAAGCCTGTCTCCAATCTTTAAACCCTGAGTGGTGTAAGTCCCGCTGATCTCTGCGCTCACTTCCTTCCTTCCCACAGCACAGCCCAGCAGCAGAGAGGAGGCAGCAATTCCCAATTAAGACTCCTCAAATTTGATCTCGAAACACTGTCATGTTTTTGTAGAAAAGCGTACCTGGGACTCGGCCCTAGAAACATTTTTAAATGCCAACAATAACAGCAGATACCTGGAAACTTGTTCACTTGACCGCAGAGTATGTCATTGTCGTGAAATGAAACTCCATGCCAGTAGATGTCACAAGGCAAGCGCCGGCCAAATGGGAACTAGAAGAGAAAAAAATGTGACTAAGAACAAGAGGAACAGTGACCACACGTAGTGTGCATTATGCATAAATTCCTGACACTCTGGTGTGCATCACACAATTTAATCTTCATGATAGGCACGTGAGGCAGGTGATGTTCTTTCCCATTTTATAGATGAAGAAACGGCTTGGGGCTTCTGTTCAACACATGTAAGAGGTTTAACAACTTGCTCAGAGTGGCCGAGCTCTGATCACATGGCGGCAGACTCTCTACGACCGGCTTTACAGGCATCATTTCCCTTTAATCCTCAAAACTACTTTATAAAGGGTTATTTCCATTTTACCGATTCAAAACTTGAGACTGAGAAAGGTGATTTAACACGCCAAAGGTCACACAGAGCTAGTAAAGGGAGGAATCAGGATTTGAATCCAGGTCTATCCAAATTCCAAGCCCATACATCCCTTTCTATGAAAATTGCAACCCTCGACCCAGCCCCAAAAGAGCAAACTTTCAGAGTCCTTTTCCTCTTCCCCTCTGTGTTTGTCACTATGTCTCTCTCCTCTTTATCTCTCTGCCTCTGTCTCTCTGTCTTTGTCTCTCTCTCTCTGTCTTTGTCTCTCTCTCTCTCTCTCTCTCTCTCTGTCTCTTACACATACACACACACACACACACACACACACACACACACACACACACACACACACGGGCTCCACCAGGGCAGGATGTATTCCCGGTGTCCAAAACATTTCTTGGAACTCCATAAAGAGTTTTTTGAATCAATAAATGAACAAACCAGGAGTGGTCATCTGACTCCAGATGAGATAAGCAGATTTTCTCTTCCAGGAATTTGGAAATCAGAGATGCCAGGCGGCCTCTGCTGGCCCTTGAACTGCGAGAGATAAAAAGCCAGAACGGGCAGCTGCGCTTGGCTGTGTGCGGGGAGGGCAGAGGCGGCCAGTCTGCGCACGAGAAAAAAGGAGCAGGTGGGCAGAGAAAAGCGGAGCTGGGACCACGCACGTAGCCCTGGGAACACAGACTGAGTGGCCGCAGACCCCCACAGGTCCGGCTGCCTCTCCTGCCCCTGGATCCTGTGAGACAGCCTCATAGCCTGAGATTACCTTTTTGATATTCTAAAATCCTCTTTGGCACAAGCTATAGGGCGTCAATTATTTGCAGCCAGAACATCCCTCATTGAGACAAAAGGGCCTGTTCTTCCCACGACATCCCGCTGCCTCTCAAAGTTAACAACAAGTTCTGCATTTACAGAACATATTTTTAAAATCTGTAACTCAGATGACCTTTTTAAAGGAAAAAATGTCAGGACATGTTAGTTCATATTCAGAATTCGATTGTTAAAAGTCCAAAGGAATAGAAATGCCAACACATTAAGTAAAACTCATTTGATTTTCCCATCTAAGACTATAGGTAATCAGAGTTTTTATCTGCTCCGAGTCGAGGGGGCCAAGGCCCACTGGAAGAACATAGCATTACTAACGAACTGGCTGTGACTCAACGCTTCCCAACCACTCCAAAGTAGAACGAAGGCACACAGACTCCAGCCCTTTGAATCAGTCACATTCCCTCAACGCTGAGCCAGGGTGGGGCACGTGTTGCACACTCTCCTTGCACTCACAACTTCCGTCTACGGTTTACAGCATTCACTCATTTTCTTTGCATCCAATGGGCTGTGAGTTATTGATTCAGTAGTGATAAATACAAATAGATACAACATATGTTATTTTCTTCTAGCAGTTAAATGCTATGATAGAGAAGGGAGAAAAACCAGAGAGGTTTCTCTAAAAAGCAGGCTATTCGAGCAAAGCAGAGTAAGATCAAAGTGGCTTTGTTGCCCACAATGAGGGACCAACACCTGCTCCTTGTCGGTGGACAACCCGATGACCCTTTATCACCCTTAGTTCACGTCGGTCCTTACCGCCCTCGTCAATACCAAGTCACCCCGCCATTCAGAAGCACCTTTAGCTCATCCAGTTTTAAGAAACTACCATTTTAAAAAATGTATCCATTCCTTCCATAATTATTACATGCCAGACACTGTGCTAAGTGCTGGGACGACAGAGGAACACAACTTTCAATAAATCCCAGGATGTCATAATCCTACCACTTTTTAACCTCTTTTTAAAAACTGTTAACATCGGGAGAGGAGGGAATGAGTATATACAACCACAACGAGTAAGATGTGCAACATTTGGGAGATGGACACACTTGAAGCTCTTACTCGAGGGGGGAGGGGGGCATGGGCAATATATGTAACCTTAACACTTGTACCCCCATAATACGCTAAAATTTTTAAAAAAGAGCAAGGTAGAAGTTTGCAGGATGATAAAACTCTTCTATTTCTTGATGTTACAAAACTGTATGTGTGTAGCAAAACTCACAGAACTGTACATTAACAGGGGTGAATTTTACTCTAAAAGGTAATATGTATTTATTTAATAAAGTGATTTTTCTTATCAGAAAAAAAACTGTTAACATCATACTCAATGGTAAAATACCGAAAGCTTCTCCTCTAAGATAGGAATAAGACAAGGATGCCCACTTTCACCGCTTCTATTCGACATAGTTATTAGAAATTCTAGCCAGAGCAATAGGCAAGAGAAAGAAATAAAAAGCATCCATATTAGAAAAGAAGAAGTAAAATTATCTGTTTGTAGATGGCATGAGCCTATATGTAGAAAACCCTAAAGATTTCACGAAAAAAATGTTTAAGATAACATACAAATTCAGCAAAATTACAGGATATAAAACCAACACATAAAAGTCAGTTGCGCTTTATATACTGACAATGAACAATCCAAAAAGGAAATTTTTTAAAAATTCCATTTACAATAGCATCAAAAAGAAAAAAATACTCAGGAATTAACCAAGGAAGTGAAAGATTTGTATACTAAAAACCACAAAATGCTTCTGAAAGAAATAAAGAAGACATAAGTAAATGGAAAGACATCCTGCATTCATAGATTAGAAGAATTAACATTGTCAAGATGTCAAAACTATCCAAAGTGATCTACAGATCCAATGCAGTCTCTACCAAAATCCCAATGACTTTTTCCCTTAGAAATAGAAAAATCCATCCTTAAATTCATATGGAATTACAAGGGACCCCAACTAGCCAAAATAATCTTGGAAAAGAACAAAGTTGGCGGTCTCATACTTCCTGATGTTAAAACTTGTAACAAAGGTACAATAATCAAACAGTGCTTAAAACAACATTGAGATACCACCATACACCTCTTAGAATGGCCAAAATCCAAAACACTGACACCACCAAATGCTAGCAAGGATATGGAGCAACAGAAACTCTCGATCATTTCTGGGGGGAATGCAAAATGGTCCAGCCACTTTGGAAGATGATTGGGCGGTTTCTCACAATACTAAACATACTCTTACCATATGATCCCACAGTTAGTTCTCCTTGGTATTTACCCAAGCCGTCTGAGAAAGAGGGACCTGAGATTCACCATCCAACTCCTCCCTCTTTAACATCCAGCTGGTCAGCAAGTCCTTTGATTTATCTCAATTTATTTTTAAATTTCCCTCCTTCTTTCATCTCCACTGCCACTGCCTTAGCTCCAGGCCTCATCTCTCACCTGGATGAGGACTCTACACCATCTCCCTTCCTCCAGGTCCACCCTTAGTCTACCTAACAGATGGCAGTTGGAGGGAATTTTCTTTAAACACAGATCTGACCATGTCACTCCTTTGCCTACAACTCTTCAGTGCCTTCCCCTGGACCACAGGACCCAGTCTGAGTTCCAAGCCTGGCCTGAAAGACACTTCACAGACTCCCCTGCTGACCTGCCCACCTCAAGTTGGGCCACTTACACCTTGGGCTCTCGTACTGTCACTGTCCGACTACTCTAGATACTTAAGGACACAGCACTTTACTGGTTTCTACATATTATTCCTTCCACCCCGGATCTTCTGACTCAGCTTGCCACCCACTCTCACCCCCGTGAAGCTGTCCCCGGCACAGGGCACTCCGCAACACCCTGTGAGTCTGTCTGCCTCACCACTTCGCGAACTATTTGAGGGTGAGGGTGGGCTCACGATCACCTGTGTGTCCCTGACACCAAGTCTTCGGCACACTGCAGCCTCTGCCTGAAACATTTTTGGAGTCATGGATCCAGAGTCTCCCCAGAAAAGCACACACATGCACAAAATTTTCCACATGAGATTAGGAGATTCAAAGACTCCCTGAAGCCCCTGGCTATCCTCAGATACCACTGTTAGCAACATCTGCAGTAACGTTTCATGAATGAATGAACTTACCAATAGCAGCCACTCAAATACACATCATCATCATCACTACTATGTCTATGTGTTAAACACTTTACATGTATGATCTCATTTAATCTGCACCTTATGGGAGAGGTGGTACTAGCAACCCTGCGTACAAACAAAGACACCAAATCTTTAAGAGAGGGAAATAACTTCCCCAAGGCCACAGAGCTAAGAAGGGCAGAGTCAGGATCAACTCCAGGTCTACCTGATTCCAAAGCCCATGCACTTAATCACTGCAGTTGTATTTATTAGTCACCCATGAATTATTGCAACTAACCTACCCTCACCCTACATGCTCCCATCTTTGTCACAAAGAAAGTTCCTCCCTCAGAGTATACACTTGGGTGGACCCAAAATCCTTTTCCCTCTTGAGAAGGTCTAAAACCAAACTTGCAAAATAGCCACATTCAAACAAGGACTGAAGCCATTAAATATCCTTTGAGCATATTTGTGCTTAAGGAATTGATGTTCAGGTCCCTCTTCTAATAGCCCAGAGAGCAAGTTCAAACCCTCCTGGGGATTTTGCAAAATGAAATTTCACGGTGAATGCTGATAAAAGCACAATTCACATTTCTATACTTTGTGAATGATTTTCTTCATAAAGCTTCTTCATGAACAGAAAGTCTTTCAAGGGACTGGGGATAAAAGTGGCAAATAAGCTTTGATGTGGCCAGTATGTGTGTAATGCATTTACAGGGGAATGATCCAAATGCTGCTTT